ATAGCACATGAATCGAAAAAATAAATAGCCTGTTTGCATTCTAATGTGTTGATAAGTGTTACAGTTTACTCCAAATGGTAGACGGCTAATTGGACATGGTCAGGTGCGTGGCCGAGCTTTGGTAAGGTTGAGGCTACGCCGCTACTAACTGCTGTTTCTTGGCCGATCTTATGGCGGGACCGAGACCGCCGAGAGCTTGGGAAACTTAATCCTGGCATGAGTAACATTTATTTAATAATTTCTGTATTTTAAATTTATGTAAAGGCAAGTCAAGCACTGAATAGGGTATTTTCTTGGAAAATCGATGGGTTTTCCCGAGCAACCTTTTGAATTGATAGGGGATGCAAAAGTGTCCATACCGAGTAACCAAAGTGTGATCAAGTGATCAGTACGAGCTGAAGTTATTATCTGGAGCTAGACGCAAGACTACACATGCCGCAGCTCAGTATATGGTGCCCTGGAGAGGCGAATGGTGTCCCGAGAGTTGTGCTACATTTTTTTTTCAAAGTATGTTCCGACTGAATCTTTTTAATACGTTTTCTTTTGTGTGTTACAGTAGAACGTGTGATGTGATTACATGTGCGCGAGTGTGAGGCGTGTGTGCCTTGCTAGTTAGAGCTAGATTGCTGGGTCCAGTTGTAACATGGCCTGGTTTCGGCGGACGCGTGTGCTGCATGGGTGGCGGGTGCCGTCCCGGAACGCGCGTATGTTTTTTTGAACATGCACCAGGCGCTGTCCTGGCAGGCGCTGTCCTGGAGCGCTGTGTGCGCTGAAGTCGTGTTCTCTGAACATGCATCAGGCGCTGACTTGAAGCGCTGTGTGCGTGGCGCTGTGTGCGCGAGCACTGTGTGCGCGGAAGTCGTGTTTTTTTGAACATGTACCAGGCGCTGTCCTCACAGGCGCTGTCCTGAGGCGCTGTGTGCGCTGAAGTCGTGTTCTCTGAACATGAATCAGGCGCTGACCTGTGGCGCTGTGTGCGCGGTGCTGTGTGCGCGAGCGCTGTGTGCACGGAAGTCGTGTTTTTTTGAACATGCATCAGGCGCTGTTCTGGCAGGCGCTGTCCTGGGGCGCTGTGTGCGCGGCGCTGTGTGCGCGGAAGTCGTGTTTCTGAACATGCATCAGGCGCTGTCCTGGCAGGCGCTGTCCTGGGGCGCTGTGTGCGCGGCGCTGTGTGCGCGGAAGTCGTGTTTCTGAACATGCATCAGGCGCTGTCCTGGCAGGCGCTGTTCTGGTTTACGTCTTTAACGTGGGAACTTGCAAGTTCAAGTACGAGTATGTTTGAGATACTTCGTATGGAGATGTATGCATACTTGTGAAAGCGAAGTTCTTTATTATAGTCTTCGGTATGAGAGTGTATTTCTGTTTGAGGGCCTCGTATGCGTGATGGATGAGAGAATAGGCAACGTACACCGTTGCCTATTCTCTGTTGTCTTAATAATTAACAACTGGTTTTTCACACAGACCACGACGACTACAACCCCGACCCCTGTTGTAATAGCCACGTGCGCTTGCCTTATGGCGGCTACCTATGGAATGTGCTGTGTGTCCACTGTGTCGTGTGGTGCTTGCCGTTCTACGTGTGGCAGCGCGGGAGTGGCAACGCCGCACAGCGGCCGCGCTGGGCGCGTCGCCGTCTGCTACTGGCGCACAGCTTGGCCTACGCCTCTACATTCAGCTTCCTTTTTGCAATGTGGATAGTGGTTTGTGAGTGCCATGCACACAGTTACCGTTTCTTACGACAATGTGTGGTGAACTTTAGAAGTCCGGAATTCTATGGTTCGCAATACATTTACCTTCATTTTCTTTTAAATTTTTATTTTGCAAAGCAGATTATTTATTTGTTTCATGCACCTGGAACTTTTAACATCTATTCCAATCTTAAATAACTTTGGTTATATATTTTGTGAGAACAGTGTTGGATGCACTTGAGTGCACCCTGGTGCATCTAACGTAGTCTTTTGCTTTGACCGTTGTGTACTTAAAATTTTACATGAAAACTACTTCGAGTAAAATTGAATATGAAAAAGGTTTCAGGTAATTAACGCTAACTTTGTGCCTATGTCAATAGCTACTGGGAGTTACTAAGGGCAACTGCCGCCGAGAGCCAATGAGGGGTGTGCAAACGAGTGCGCCGAGACAGCTCGGTAGTGCTAGTGCGCCAAAACAGCTCGCTAGTGCTAGTGCGAGTGCGCAGAGACAGCTCGCTAGTGCGAGTGCGCCGAGACAGCTCGCTAGTGCGAGTGCGCCGAGACAGCTCGCTAGTGCGAGTGCGCCGAGACAGCTCGCTCGTGCGAGTGCGCCGAGAGAGCTCGCTAGTTCTAGTGCGAGTGCGCAGAGACAGCTCGCTAGTGTGGATGCGCCGAGACAGCTCACAAGTGCGAGTGCGCCGAGACAGCTCGGTAGTGCGAGTGCGCCGAGACAGCTCACAAGTGCGAGTGCGCCGAGACAGCTCGCTAGTGCGAGTGCGCCGAGACAGCTCACAAGTGCGAGTGCGCCGAGACAGCTCGGTAGTGCGAGTGCGCCGAGACAGCTCACAAGTGCGAGTGCGCCGAGACAGCTCGCTAGTGCGAGTGCGCCGAGACAGCTCACAAGTGCGAGTGCGCCGAGACAGCTCGGTAGTGCGAGTGCGCCGAGACAGCTCGGTAGTGCGAGTGCGCCGAGACAGCTCGCTAGTGCGAGTGCGCCGAGACAGCTCGCTAGTGCGAGTGCGCCGAGACAGCTCGCTAGTGCGAGTGCGCCGAGACAGCTCGCTAGTGCGAGTGCGCCGAGACAGCTCGCTAGTGCGAGTGCGCCGAGACAGCTCGCTAGTGCGAGTGCGCCGAGACAGCTCGCTAGTGCTAGTGCGAGTGCGTAGAGACAGCTTGCTAGTGCGAGTGCGCAGAGACAGCTCGGTAGTGCTAGTGCGCCGAAACAGCTCGCTAGTGCTAGTGCGCCGAAACAGCTCGCTAGTGCTAGTGCTAGTGCGAGTGCGCAGAGACAGCTTGCTAGTGCGAGTGTGCAGAGACTAGCTTGCTAGTGCTAGTGCGCCGAGACAGATCGCTAGTGCGAGTGCGCCGAGACATCTCGCTAGTGCGAGTGCGCCGAGACAGCTCGCTAGTGCGAGTGCGCCGAGACAGCTCGCTAGTGCGAGTGCGCCGAGACAGATCGCTAGTGCGAGTGCGCCGAGACAGATCGCTAGTGCGAGTGCGCCGAGACAGCTCGCAAGTGCGAGTGCGCCGAGACAGCTCGGTAGTGCTAGTGCGCCGAAACAGCTCGCTAGTTCTAGTGCGAGTGCGCAGAGACAGCTCGCTAGTGCGGATGCGCCGAGACAGCTCGCTAGTGCGAGTGCGCCGAGACAGCTCACAAGTGCGAGTGCGCCGAGACAGCTCGGTAGTGCGAGTGCGCCGAGATAGCTCGGTAGTGCTAGTGCGCCGAAACAGCTCGCTAGTGCTAGTGCGCCGAAACAGCTCGCTAGTGCTAGTGCGCCGAAACAGCTCGCTAGTGCTAGTGCTACTGCGAGTACGCAGAGACAGCTTGCTAGTGCGAGTGTGCAGAGACTAGCTTGCTAGTGCTAGTGTGCAGAGACTAGCTTGCTAGTGCTAGTGCGCCGAGACAGATCGCTAGTGCGAGTGCGCCGATACAGCTCGCTAGTGCGAGTGCGCCGAGGCAGCTCGCTAGTGCGAGTGAGCCGAGACAGCTCGCTAGTGCGAGTGCGCCGAGACATCTCGCTAGTGCGAGTGCGCCGAGACAGCTCGCTAGTGCGAGTGCGCCGAGACAGCTCGCTAGTGCGAGTGCGCCGAGACAGCTCGCTAGTGTGGGTGCGCCGAGACAACTCGCTAGTGCGGTTGCGCCGAGACAGCTCGCTAGTGTGGGTGCGCCGAGACAGCTCGCTAGTGCGGGTGCGCCGAGACAGCTCGCTATTGCGGGTGCGCCGAGACAACTCGCTAGTGCGGGTGCGCCGAGACAGCTCGCTAGTGCGGGTGCGCCGAGACAGCTCGCTAGTGCGAGTGCGCCGAGACAGCTCGCAAGTGCGAGTGCGCCGAGACAGCTCGGTAGTGCTAGTGCGCCGAAACAGCTCGCTAGTGCTAGTGCGCTAAAACAGCTCGCTAGTGCTAGTGCTAGTGCGAGTGCGCAGAGACAGCTTGCTAGTGCGAGTGCGCCGATACAGCTCGCTAGTGCGAGTGCGCCGAGGCAGCTCGCTAGTGCGAGTGCGCCGAGACAGCTCGCTAGTGCGAGTGCGCCGAGACATCTCGCTAGTGCGAGTGCACCGAGACAGCTCGCTAGTGCGAGTGCGCCGAGACAGATCGCTAGTGCGAGTGCGCCGAGACAGCTCGCTAGTGCGACTGCGTAGAGACATCTAGCTAGTGCGACTGCGCCGAGACAGCTCGCTAGTGCGAGTGCGCCGAGACAGCTCGCTAGTGCGAGTGCGCCGAGACAGCTCGCTAGTGCGGGTGCGCCGAGACAGCTCGCTAGTGCGAGTGCGCCGAGACAGCTCGCTAGTGCGAGTGCTCCGAGACAGCTCCCTAGTGCGATTTTAAGCGTATCAAAAGACTGTTTTATATCCGATATGAAAACATATACCTCGTTATCATATTGGTGCTTACGGGCACGAGTTCTGCTGTGGTAACCTTACTGGATGTATCATCAACGGTATCTGTGGCCGTGGCCGCTGTTGAACTCTGATTCGTATCTGATTTGGAGTTCTGTTGCACTGGTGGGTGGGTTCTCTTAAGTTGTGTTTTGAAATATTAATAATTATTATACCTCACCGGCACGGAAACTTGGCCACTCGTGAATTTGCTGATTATTTGCACTGAAACGTTTTTTTAACAGTAAATTAAGGGTAGATGCATTCAATAAGTGTCTCTAATGGTTTTAGAACGTAGAAATTTAATGTTTACTTCACCGAAATTTTTCTTTTCAAGATAACATGTTTTCACTAAAATTAACATCTTTCCATTGTCACTTTAAAAACACTACAAAGTTAAAAATTAAGTCTGTTTCTTTATTGTCTATCAGTTTTAATATCGGGTGTTTCCTCCCTTAGCCCTGATAACCGCTTGCATTCGATCTGGCATACTTTGAATGATGTTTCTGACATCAACTTGCGGTATGCTGTCCCAAGCGGCCAGCGCTGTATTTCGGAGCTCATTTAGAGTTTGTGGCGGTTTGGAGCTGGACTTTATCTTTCTTTTGAACATACCCCATACATACTCAATTGGATTTAAGTCCGGGCTACGAGCTGGCCACTGTAATTTTTGTATTCCAACCTCTTCCAGATATTCCTCTACACAATGTGCGACGTGCGGGCGTGCATTATCGTGCATGAGGAGGAATTGGTCGTGTCCAATGAATCCCGAATAAGGAATTACATGCTCCTGAAGAACTTCCTCGATGTATCGAGTAGCTGTAAGCCGATTATCGACGATGACCAACTCTGTACGTGCGTCGGAACTTACACCTCCCCATACCATTATTGAGCCTCCATGGAAACTCACAGTTTGGGTGGTGGTAATGGGTAGAAACCTCTCTCCTCTTTTTCTCCACACTCGTTCTCGACCGTCTGGAGCACGTAAGCTATTCGACACTCATCTGTGAACAACACTCTAGCCCATTGCTCGTGGGTCCAATTGACATGTTCTCTTGCGAACTGAAGTCGGGCTACTCGGTGCTGTCTGAGAAGTTCTGGACCTCGTGCTGGTCTACGAGCTTTTAAATTCACTTCCTCCATTCGTCTTCTCACCGTACGCTCACTAACATTAACGCCTCTTGCGATTTGGAGCCGCTGGCGTATCTCAACAGCGGTCAGGTAGCGGTTTCTCAAAATCTCCATAACAATAAAACGATCGTCCCGGGCCGATGTGCACCTTACGCCCCCACTGCCTGGCCTGCGGGTGTAGCGTCCTGTCTCCTGGTATCGTTTCAGTGAATACTGCATTGAGGACCGTGGTACGTTAAGCACAATAGCAACTTCACGCTGTGTCAGCCCTTGGTCAATTAATGCTACTGCTTGTGCAACTTGTGCTGGTGTTAATGGCATTTTTATTGGCTTTAAAGCACCTTTAGTTATTGAATTAAGACACAAGATCACAATAATTGAATAACCTTACAGTAAACTTTTCACAACACACAAATTTAAAATGTGAACTTAGTCGCTCAAATGACCCGATTCAACTAAAAATTAAAGAATTCGTCATGGTGCACTTAAACATAATGAATTACCCTCTTGAACTTGAGAGCAAACATTTTTTGACATACCTGCATAACAAACATTCATCAGAAACACTTAAAGCTTTTGCTGTCGCGAGTGTATGAAGTGAAGTAGCGAAAAGTCTTTCAACGTAGTGGTATTAAAATACACGACTTACTAGGCGCATATAAGCGATAATAATTCAAGTTACGTAACAGATTACTACCTCACAAAGCACGTATCAATTATAGTAGCAGCTGTATCATCTGTCGTGCGTGTTTTGTTCTTCTATCCATAGACATTCGTAGCAGATACTCGTCCAGTTGCAAATGAATCTTTAAAACTTATGTATTTCTAGTGATACGCATAGTCAAAATTTTAAAGTTTAATTCAAGCGCTTAAATGAATTCTAAAATCAAAAATACACGTCTAAATTCTTTTATACCCAGGGGTGAAAGAGATACCCAATGCAACTGGCTGCTTAAACAGAAAATAAAATGTATTTTCTTTTTGGTATGAGGATAATAAGGTATAACTAGTGTTATTTTAAATTTACGAGCCTGTAGAATAGACTTGTTGAAAAATAACGCTGCGTACATACATACAAAACTGTTGAATAGTGCTTACTGTTTGTACAGAACAGATAGTTTTACTTTTAGTTCACTGAAATTGTGTGGGATAAACAAATTAAGGAAAAAAACTTATACTGATTTAAGTTTTTGGTAAGTTTAATAAATATTCTACGAAATAAGATTTGTTTTGTTTTCAAATTTGTCCAAGCTATCCACGTGGTTTAGCGGTTAGAATACGTAACTACATAATTGTGAATGCCCGGTTTCAAACTGAATTGAATAACTAAGGTAACTTGTTTTGTAGCAGTAATTAGGAGATGTCGAACAGTGGCTAGTGATGAGCTGCAATAATTATGCTTAATGAAACAATGATTTTTTGTAATAGTCGTAATAAACATTTACATGTGGGCGAATTAAACTATTAAACAATTATTTTTACATAATTTTTATTCACCATAATCATCACCATTACAGCCCATCACAAGTCCACTGCTGAACACAGGTTCAGCAGTGGACTCCTCAACAAAAAATGCCGCAGAGCAGGAATCTGAGACACTGCATCCATGGACTTCCTGCGTCTCTTATCAGCCAAAATTAATAATCTTCTGTACCAGGTCTCCAGGTCATTTATTTTTCCCCTGACATAAAATGTATGCATAAAATTGTGTTTTGATTCAATAACGCTAGATAGGTAGATTATCTATATTTTCAATTCAGCGTGGTGGATTAAATGGATTGAGTTTTATTGCGCACAAATTCAGCAAATAATCCTGAGTGAACATTCCCTTCAATCCACAGCTCTGTCAACTTGAAATCAATTTATTTTTCAATTTGAATTTATTTTAACGACTGGATTAGCATTTTTAATACATATATTATTTATTTTTAGAATAGGTTAGACTATTATTCAATATGGATTAGAAGAATACTACTTGAGATATATTTTTTTTTATTTTTCCTCCACGTTTGTCAGTGAGTGGTGTACTTACTTGTTTGTTTATTTACTCCTGAATCCAATATACCTGCGTTTTGCTGGTACATTTTTATAGAAGTAAGTGTGATGATTGGATATCTAGGCGCATAGATTGGGATGAGATTTGGAATTTATTTGCATCTTATTCTTGGCGTCTGCTTCTCCTTTGAAGACCCGACGAGCTGCGCGGATACCATAATCAATGTGATACGTCAAGCGATGGAGTATTTCATCCCCTTTGCTGACGTGCCCATTCGTGGTAAATCTCGCCCATTGTTCAACGCCGAGTGCGCTCGTGCTGAAAAGCACAATCATATGGCGTACTTATTATGGGTCAATGCTCGAGACCGTAAAGCTCCGGATGTTAGCCTTAAGAAAAGAACCTTTAACCAAGCCGCCAAGTCCTACAAAAAGGCATTACGCCAAGCCATTAGGCATTACCGCATTCTGTACAAATCTCTCTGTCAAACCATCTGGCAGTAGAGCTTTTTGGTCTCTCACCAAAGCGGTCGAGACAAACTTCTGTCGGTCTACACTGTCTCCGCTGGTAAAACCAGATGGCTCTCTGGCGCATGCGCCTAAGGAGAAAGCGGAATTATTTGCTTCTCTTTTTACTTGCAATTCGCGTCTGGACAGTAGCAACAGCGTACCATCTCAATTACCTCACTGCTGTACCTCTATGTCAGAGGTCCGTATCACCAACAAGGAGGTTCTTAAAAACTTTCGAAGTCTAGACGTGAACAAAGCTAGTGGACTTGATGGTATACTAGCTATAGTTCTAAAGGTCTGTGCACCTGTGTTGTCTCCTGAGTTGACACGCTTGTTCCGTCTCTCATTCAGGACTGGAATAGTGCCTAAATCTTGGGAGCTGGCCAATGTACAGCCTGTGCCTAAAAAAGGTAGCCGTACCGACCCTGCAAACTATCGGCCAATTTCAATTACCTCCATACTCTGCAAGATTATAGAGCGTATATTGAACGCCCACCTCATGGCATACCTAGACCAAAATTATCTCCTCAATAATTGCCAGTACGGGTTTCGCCGAAATCGATCAACTGGGACCTTATAGCGTATGCCACTCTATCGTATGGGACGAAGCTTTCGAGAACAGTGGTAAAGCACTTGCTGTATCCCTCGATGTTTCGAAGGCCTTTGACAGGCTTAGCAGGCACGCTAGTCTATTGGGTAAGCTTCCAGCGTATGGCTTATCCCCTGGCATGATTGCCTAGGCGAAGGTCTTTCTGAGTAAGCGGTCTCCCCGGGTCGTTTTCAATGACTGCTCATCCGATACTATGGCGACTAAAGCCGGTGTTCATCAGAGGTCCGTACTCTCCGCAACTCTCTTCCTGCTGCATATAAATGATCTGCTCATTCCCGGTATCTATGGGTATACAGACGACAGCACAGTTGTGGCTGGCTGGCTTATGGAGTTGTAAGACAGGGTGACGTTATATCCCCGAAACTCTTCACCGCTGCATTGGAAGACGTTTTCAAGCTTCTGGACTGGAAAAGATACGGTATTAACAACAATGGCGAGTACATCACTCACCTTCGATTTGCCGACGATATAGTCCTTATGACAAAATCGCTGGAGGACCTAAGCACTATTGTATCCCAACGGATAGGTCTTAAGATGAGCATGGACAAAACAAAGATCATGTTTAATGTCCATGTCACACCTATGCCGGTAGTTGTTGGGAGCACTAAGCTCGAAGTTTTTGACGAGTATGTTTACCTGGGACAAATAGTCCGACTAGGTAAGTCCAACTTTGACCGAGAGGTCAATTGACGGATTCAACTCGGTTGGGCAGCGTTCAGGAAATTACGGCACATCTTCTCGTCAGGTATACCTCAAAACTTGAAAACGAGACTGTACAACTAGTGCGTGTTGCCAGTGATGACCTATGGAACTGAGTCAACGTGGTCCTTCACTACTGGCCGGATGAGGAAGCTTAAGGTCGCTCAGCGAGCTATGGAGAGGGCTATGCTCAGAGTTTCTCTGCGTGATAAACTTAGACATGAGGATATCCGCAGTAGAACTAGGGTGACCGACATAGCCCAATGGATTAGTAAGCTGAAGTGGCAATGGGCCGGCCATATAGCTCGAAGAATCGACAGCCGATGGGGAAAAAAGGTTCTCGAGTGGCGGCCTCGTGCCAGTGGACGAAGTGTAGGGCGTCCCACCACTAGATGGAGTGACGACCTGGTAAGATATGCAGGAAGTCGATGAATGCAGGTGGGTCAGGACCGTGCTTTGTGTCATTCCTTGCGAGAGTCCTATGTTCAGCAGTGGACTTGTTAAGGGCTGTCATGATGAATGGTGATGATGATATACTGTTTCTTTTTCGTTTATTAAGGATAACTCAAATAATAGTGTTCAGATCTTGATCAAATTTATATGGGACCACATGAGAAGCACCATCCTGTAAATAAAGAAAGAATCATCAAAATCGGTTTTACTAGAAAAAAATTCTGAGGTAACACACATAAAATAATATAGTTCAATTGAGTAGCTCTTCCTTTTAATGAAGTCGGTTATAAAAAGCAAAGATATTCTAGCTAACTATATGACAGAGTAACTATTTTGTCGAATTATACTCTTAAAATTCCATAGATAAATACTTTAAGCTATGGTAGAGTCCAAGATATAACTGTCAGAAACAGAAACAGAAACTTTTTTTTCAATATAGATTATAAATA